CCCCTCCCAAAAAAAACTTGATAGTGATTTTCTTCACGCGTGGACCAAATCCACGGGTTCTGTGTGTGACGGCGGTGTGTCTGAACGCCACACCACAGATGTGATACCGGTATGTTTAAAATTAAAGCAGAGTACCCATTGTGTACCGTCAATTGGTCGCTTTTAAGGACAAGCGGGATTTTGGGGGTTTCCAGAAATCGTTACCGACACCAAAAGTCGGCATTGCCCTGACTATAGGAGAAGTTTGGTTTCTTTGCTATGTATCTTTGTTTGGTTATAGAGAAAACTCGACTTGTCTTTTAAAGAAAGTGAACAAGGGTCCAAACCTTTGCCTTCGATTTTCTCAAAACAGCATTTTTCGGGATAGCTCGCTTGTCTGTGCTTAAAAGCGACCAAGCAGAAACAGTATACATCAAGGTTTCTCCAGAACAAAATCCATAACTTGTTTAATAGTGCTGATTACATATAGAATTTAAAATTTTCACAATGTATAAGCAGTAAACGACAAGTTATGAAAAGTTTAACTGAGAAAACACACAGTTTTATATTCTTTTGCTTAAGACGTGGAAAGCCAAATGGATATGTGCACGGGACATAATTCCAGTGGGCATGTTTAGCGTGTCTTTCTATTTCTCACTATGAGCCATAGCAGATAAAAGAGGGGTTAAAACCTTGCATTAAATAGCTGGGAGTCGCCATTCAAAAAGAAATAACAGAAAGAGCTCAGAGGCTTTAAGGGGAGAATGGAGAAAGTTCCCGAGGAATCAAAGCTGTAGATTATGTCAGTAATGGATTCCACATTTCCAAACAGTATAAACAAAGCTCATGTGGCTTGTGATAGAAGATGAAAACCCTTGAGAGAACGGACACAGATTTTTCGGGTTCTCCAGAAACAAAAATGAGAACGTTTAGTTTTAATTTTTTGCTGATACAGTTTAAAGAAAACAGAAGAGTGGGTTAATTGAAACAATGGAATGTTACAATTTTTGCAGGTACAATTTACATAACAATAGAAATTGGATTAATTAAAAGCAGCAGTTGCCCATCTGTCTTTTGTTGATTAAAGCGGGTGGATGGCGCTTTGCTGTTTAGACATTGAAGTCCGTGAATTGCTTTTGGCGCTGCCAGGAAAACGAGGGCGAAGAAGAAAAAAAAAAGGTTTCCCTTGTCTAAAAATGTTGTCGGGCAAGAAGGAACGGCGGATAGGGCACCCGAACAATATGTTTCAGTGAGCGTCTTGACAGGTGCCGCCTCCGATACTGACAGGGGTGATGGTGGAAAGGTCATAGTGTACTCTGTGACCTTCACGGAGGGGATTTGGGTGCGTCTACCTTACAAGTCGGTAGACAATAGCTTATAGGGTGTGCACACGGTGCGACTTATTGAATCGAAAGTCATGAGATGGATGTATTTGGCATCTGTTTTAATGAACGTAACTCAGCTTCAATCGTTGTCTGTGATAAATTAGCGTTATGTGTGGTGTGGTGTGGCCATCAGATGCTTCGCCGTTGCAGTAGGAGATTCGGAGTCGAACACCCAGTACAAATAGGGGGGGGGGGGGTGTTTTTTTTTTTTTTTTTTTTCTTTCTCTTTTTTCGGGTTTTTTTTGGGGGGGGGGGGGGTGTTATCGATTTTTGCCTGTCTTTCTGCTAGCATGTTGTATCCTTTTCAGCCTCAGCTGGCGCTAACAGTGTGTCGATGGTGGCTAAAAAAAACACCTGTACTAAAATTAAAAAGTATATTAATTTGTGATACAATGGCATCTGTTGTGTCGTGTACACTGAAGACGTGAGTTCTATTTCGAGTGGAGAAGTTTGTTATATCGAGCGTCGCTGTCTGTATGCTGAGAAACAACAGTATCTGTGGGTGGTTGGCGGGTGCTCTGGTGTGGTTTGCTCCTTCTTTCCTATTAAAAAAATCTATTGTCTCTATCTCCCCTCCTTTTTTGTGTTGTTTTTTTTACTCTCTGGTAATACCTCAAATCTTCGGCACTTATCTGACATTATTGTGTTGCAAGTGCCGTAAAACTCTTACTAAACTAAAACAGCAGTATCCCACACAGCTCGCGAAGGCGTTGGCAGACAGAGTCAAAGCAACCCGGCTCCTAAATGATCTTACTTGTGTCGATAAGCTCATCAAACATTTACGATCATTAAGTTTTACAATCAGTGTCGGTGATACTTTGATGTCTGATAACAGCTTCAGGCAGAAGTAAATTGTATCATCCCTCATGACTCATTGGAGCAGAGGAAGATAGGATTAACGTTGACATTACATAAACACCGTCTCCCATCATCACTCACCACCACCATTATATCTAAATAATTCACCATTGCTCTCAGGTCCTTGACTTACATCTATATTCATTGAATCTCTATCTATAACAGTTAAATCTACATGTAACAATAAGAATGTACGTATATCTAAAATGACCATTGCTCTCAGGTCCTTGACTTTCATCTATATTCTTTGAATCTCTATCTATAACAGTTAAATCTACATGTAGCAATAAGAATGTACGTAATACACCATTGGACACTATCATACACACCTATTTCTCTGCTAATCAGATAGCGTCAATCTCGTATAAGTGGGCAGGGGATAAAAAGAAGTAGTACAGCGTTGCTCCCTATTTTGAATGTGCTTGACTTAATGCAAAGAACCGTGGTCGTCGAGAGAGTGGGAGTTTTTTTTTTGGGGGGGGGGGGAGTAAAAAGGGATGCGCTGGGGTCAGACAGTCTTACTGCAATAGTTAATTAAGAGCGGCCTGCGATCGTCGTTATGCGCAAAAGCATAACAAAATTATAAAGTCACCTGCCCAAGACATTCCTCTGTACAAACGGCCATTTCCTATGTCCACACTTGCGTATTGTTACACTATAATGACACTGAGTAAGACAGCTGCCAATTTAATACGACCTCTAGACCACTATTCTCCTTCACAAAGAGTGGCCTTCTTTCGACTGTACCTTATTTCCTTCCAACTCCGTACACAATTGGGAGGACCTTTCGGGTTTTGTGGGGGG